CAGAATGTTGCCTTTTTAATATAAATATAATAATCAACGATAACCGCAGGAAATATAATTTAAATAAACTATGTAAATTGTTAAAAATTTCAAACAAAACACAGATTTCTTAATCATACTAATATTATAAATGCGAAAGTTTAGATGGATGGATGGATGTTAAGAGTTTATAGCCTAAACGACTGAACCGATTTCGATGAAATTTGGTAAGGACGTAGAGGATAGTCTGGAAGAACACATAGGCTACTTGGTTTTGTTTTTTTTAATTCCACGCGGACGGAGTCGCGTGCGAAAGCTAATAATTCATAAACGGCTAAAACAATTATTTAAAAACTAAAAAAACCTATTTCGCGGTTCAATAAAAAAACCAAGTGGGTTGAAACAAAAACCATAGAGATAAGAGCAAACTTGAATGCTCAAGTTGAGCTTTATTTTTATTTTACAGTCATGTTTAATTCAATGTATTACTTCAATATTCAGCAACGTAAAAATGTTATTGCCGTTAGCTTGATGTATGGAAGTTTCGTGCCTAGCACGTCACGCAAAAACATCGAGCAGTATTGATTTGATCCTTCCAGATATGAGACTTGGAACTTAGGCAAGTCAACGTTTTTTATTTGCCGAATTTTATATTTTAATACCTAATTAATTGAGTTCTATTCGCGTTGACTTTATATTATTAAGAAGAATTTTCTATAACTATGTTTTCGGTTAACATGCACGAAGTTAACATGCGAAAGTTAGGATGGATTGATGTTTGTTAGAGCTTGTAGCCTAAACTTCTGAACGGATCTCGATGAAATTTGGCATAGATGTAAAGAAGTCTGGAAGAACACATAGACTACCTACTTTTGTGTTTTGTGTATAACTACACGCGGACCGAGTCGAGGGCGAAACCAAGTAAAATATAAATGCTATAGTTGAATGGGTAGATGGATGTTTGTTAGAGTTTTTAGCGTAAACTGCTGAACGAATTTCATTGAAATTTGACATAGATGTAGGTAGCGGATAATCTGGAAAAACACTCACTTATTTTTGTTTTTTTTTAATTTCACGCGGACGAGTTCGCATGCGACAGCGATTTAAATAAATCAAAACGCATATATATTTTCATAGATCCTTGTATTATTCTTCCTTTAATCCTTTGTATGTGTTGAAAGATCTTTTTCGACAAAATGAAGGCACAAAATGGAAAATAATGCGGAACGTGACACAATAGAGGCGTGGTTTGAGAACTAAATAAAGATATAAAAAACGTTCCGCGTAAATGCCGTTTACTCTCTGGAGATTCAAATAAAGATGGTAATTCAGAAAGCATTTGCATATTCATAATTCTTCGTTAGCGTGTTCTTTTTACGAAACTGTAGATGCAGATAGAGTATATATCATTCTAGTTTTTTTTAAACGGTTTAATATCGAAGCTTCCATTAGATTATTCCAAATAGAGTAATTTCAATAATGTGTAACGAATCATATATTAAAAATGCGAAAGTATACTCGTAGATAGATGGATGGATGGATGTTTGTTAGTTTGTTAAACAGCCGAACGGATCTTGATGAAATTTCGCATAGATGTAGACGATAGTCAGGAAGAACACATAAGCTACTCACTTTGTTTTTTTTTAATTCTACGCGGACGGAATCGCGGGTGAAAGTTAGTTAATTTATAACGTTTTAACAGTTGAAGAAAATAACATTGTCATCACGAATAAAACAACCCAAGATCTAATTGTTTCGTTTACTAAAGCTACGCTAAGCGACTTCCTTAGTGATAAATTAATGACTATATGCGGCAATATTTGGTAATGTAAAAGGTGGAACACTTAAGCTATAGAATTGTATTCTATGTCATGCTATTAATGCTGGGTTTTTGAGGTTACCTATTTCGTCCTCACCTAGCGATTCATTAGTTTTATAGTAAAACTGAAGTTACGGATTGCACGAATTTGTCGAACCAAGAACACTAACGAATGGTTTACTCTGGGAAACCGGCTATAAATCATTTATTTTATTGCGTGAGCTAACAAATGTCGTATTTATACAGTCGTCAAATTAGGAGATGTCTGAAGTAAGTTGAAATTACTGCCTAAAACTTTAGTTTGTCTTAAATGTGATGTCATTATAAATTATATGCGTACTTAACAATAAAGTTACGCAACGACTTTTGTTAGAGTTACTTGTAAGTATAATATGGTCGTTACTAAGTTTTAATTTTGAAGTTAGTATTTGTCCGTAAGTATGTGTGGAAAGATTCTCATCTTTTCGTTATTTTGGCGGAAACTCAAGAACTATGGTTGTTTATAATTGACAATGTTTCTTGTTATTGTTGTAAGTTAGGTTATGAAATATTAACTTGATAATTAAATTGGAGTTTTAGACATTATTATAGCTTTGAGAATAAACAATTTTATCCGAAATACATAAGTTAAATTTATCTTTTTAAAGTTAATGTTACGCTGTTTATTACGCTACGGTCACCTTTACTCAAGTATTTATTAACGTCAAAATAAATAATTTACTTAAACTTATTATGTTAATTCAGTCGCAGGAGCAAATTTCTTAATTCAGTTACCTTGTCCCAGCTTCCCATATTAATTAGACTTAACAAATGGTTTAAAATATTAACTTAGACTTTGCTATTTAAATGTTTGTTAAGGATGCAATTTTTTCTGCTTGGCCTAGCACGAAAATTATCAAGAATTCGTAAAATTATTGATTTTTGTTTTTTATAACATAAGGTGGCAAACGAGCAAGCGGCTACCTGAATCCGCCAAAATGGCGAAGCGACCACTGCCCATAGACATCCGCGATTGCGGATGCGTTGCCTACCCTTATCCAATGCAGGAGGAGACGCACATAAAGCGGATTTTCCCCCTTCCTAGGCATCTCCACCGACAAATCAACTGCCCCTTCCCATCCTCTCCTTATAAGAAAAGGGTGGTAAAGAGAAAGGGACTAGGCCTCCGGCACCACACTCATCAGACGAAACACGGTATTACTTTCACTTCACGCCTGCCTTCTGTGTGGTCGTGGTATTACACAGAGCGTACCGACCCATTCGTACTAAGATGTTAAAGCGGTCACTACCACTGTTAAAAAATTATCGATAAAAGTTCTGTATCCTATCGGACGTAAAGAACACTGACAAATCTCGTACAAATTTTATCGATGACGTTACGACCATTTTATCGAATATTTTGAAGCTAATAGATTAACTAATTTCCTCTTACGTTCGAATGCAATGCTCTTGTAATGTGTCACTGGTTTGTTAAAGAGGATGAAAAGGATAACAAAAATTACTTTCATTTTTAAGAGTTAGTTCAGAGTCTTGGACTAAACTATCGCACAACTGTTTGTCGTGCTTTGATTCCTTTGAACTTATCTTTAGGTGCACACTATTCGATTTTTACTTGTGAAAGAAAACAGTTGAATAGGCTGCGAAACAATCGACGATCGCACAACATTTAGTCAAAGTTGTGGCTCGCTCTTACTGTAACAATGTTAATTTCTGAGACACGCAATAATTATATGTAACAAAACAAACACCAGATGTCGAGAAATGCTACGGATTAATTGATACTTGAGTTTCTTCCATCCAATTAGTGTTCCAGAACCCTCATTGCGCGTTTAACGATATATTAAAATATTTTATTATAATTACACGCTTGGTTTAATCTGTATGTTTCGAATATGCTACATTGAAAATTATTTTATCGAAAATTATAGATATTCATTAACATTGGAACTTACATTGAAATCATAGAATGTCTTCTTTCTGTACATCCCCTCCCCTGCCCTTTTAAAGTAGGCAATACCTACAAGTGTCTATAGACAGTGGACGCATTGCTAGTTTGGCTGCTTGCGTATTTGCTACTATAAAGCACTGAAAATAATGTTGTCTCATTTTTTCCATAAAGAATGAGGGAGACGACAATATATAAATGTGTCGACTGTAGAATTGGATAGTAACAGTCTCACAACATTAAAATAGGTCCTTTATCTTGATTAGACCGGCTCCGAAATCCGTAACCCGTAAAATGAAAACATTAGCTAGATGTCGGGAATTTTCAGTGCTCGTTACGAGATATAGAGACAAAGTAAGCAATATATACTGACTATTCTAGACCTTTAGTCAGAAACTTCGTATCTAAGTTGTATTAAAATCGGAATAAACAATTAGTTTTGAAAACAGATTTTTATTTATTAATGCAGCTAAAGGCAAAAAAAAATTAGATCTTTGCGGATACTCAATTGGTACTTGGTCTCTAAAATCTGACTAACTAGTGAAGAAATATTTAAACAAACTAGCGATTGCCCAAAAAGACAGACAAAACTGCAAAATTGAGTTTTCGTTATTGGCAACGCATATATAATGTTCGCGAAATAGACTTTTTCCATAGACACTCTAATTTTATTCTCTGATATTATCTGATATTCTCGTAGCGTCTGTTCTCATGCCATGTTACTTTTATTAGAATTTTATTAACCTTTTTATTAGCGTTAATTAATTGTTATTTTATACGTCTTGCAATATTATTGGTATTTATTTTTCTAGGTTATCTGTTCAGCTGAGAAATAACGGTGAGTTTTTGAAATGCCACTTTGATCTCTATAGAGGTTTTTTAAGCTTAAAAATTTACTATAATCAAATGAGAAGGGGTAAGATATTTTGTTAAATCACTTTTAAATGTAAATTAATAAAACTAGTATCATAATGATTAAAAATAAATAAGAAATCGAACTTAAAAGTAATCAAGCGATATGTTAGTTTTATAATGTTACTTTTATTCCAGTAGTTTTTAAATGATTTTATTAGAAAAATAGTTAATCTATAAGTAGAATAAATACAATTAGCAAAAGTTTCTGTATATCGATGTTAGGTAACAATGATTCATAAAAGTTATTCGAACAAAAATTTTCCTCCTAAAAGAAAAACTCGCTAAATTTATTGGCATAATTCGTAATCTTTCTTAGCAAAAAGTCGCTTGGATATTCCAATAAAAGAAAAAGAAGCGACCAAAAAAACTTTTTGTTCGAAACGTGAGCTGGTTTATGATAAAACGGAAATTGGAACTCGGTAAGGGATTTTTGTTCCTTACAAGTTTTGTTACTTATTTTTTAAGCTTCTTAATATTTAAAATGAATTATAATATAATCTATAGACGTTACGTTTGGTTGTAATATCTGGCAAGCACTCGCACATACCGTATATGCTTATCTTCCTTACAAATGCAAAAGTTTAGATATAGGGATCTTTATTATAGTTTTTCGTCTAAACGACTCAACGGTTCTCGATGAAATTTTGCAAAGATGTAGAGTATAGCCTGGAAAAATAGATAGGCTACTTACGTTTTTTTTTTTCATTCCTCGCGAACGAAGTCGCGCGCAACAGATAGTTTAGTAATACAGTATTTTTTACAGAATAAAAATGTCGATCTCCGAATTCAGACGGAAGAAGCTGCTCTACGTTTTCAACGTGTTCTTCGGTAAATTATTTTTAACTATACTTAAATGTTTCTGATTTAAATTCAATCAATTCTGGTCTTTCTGTCACAGCATTTTTTTCTATCAACCCTTCACTGGTCATCGTCACCATACTCGTCAATTCTTTATTACTGATGTCTTCTATTTACGAATATCTTAACCAAAATACATTGTTAACTTATTTTAATAAATAATCATTATTATAGATGTCAACCAGAGTGGAACCATTGAAAGGAAGGATTTCGAAATTGCCATTGAAGTAAGTATATGCACATAATAAGCAATTCCTTATATCGTCTTTGAATTCAATTTGGTATTTCGTTGTATAGAAAGTATGCAGTCTTCGTGGATGGAAGCCGGGAGATGCTAAGCATACTGAGACTCATGAAATAATGATCAAGATTTGGGACGGGCTGCGGAAGAGGGCTGATTCCAATAAAGATGGACAGGTCAGTTCACAGTTGGGGCTAAGCAATCTTTAATAAGTATTCAAACACAATAAGACTTGATGTAGGTGTAGGAAAGTGTCTAAGCAAACTCCGACAGTGATTGGAGTTAGGTGCTTGCTCCTTAGAGATAAAATATCCCAAAAAAGTACCAAGTTTACTGTAGTTTTTTAGAAGTATGTGATTTAATAATTATCTTGTATGCCAGGTTTCCGTGGACGAATGGGTGTCCATGTGGAATGACTACGCTCTGAACCCGTCAGCGGCTCTCAAGTGGCAGCAGCTGTACTGCCACTTCATGTTCCAACTGGAAGATGCCAGCGCTGATGGCTCCATTGATTGTGACGAGTTCACCACCGTCTGCTCCTCCTACGGTATCGACCCTAAGGAGTGTAAGATGGCTTTCACTAAGATGGCCAAGGTACGTATTCTAGTAGTATTTTCCAGGCTTAGCTATTTTTAAGAATCTGCCCTTTTTGTTTATCTCCGTCTTCATGCTTTATCGTATTCTTCATATATTTACTAACTATAGATCAGATAAGACATTTTAGTGTTTAGTTTCAACGAGAAATATGGAATAATAATTTAACTTAAGTTATGAGAACTGATGGAAAGTAAGAATAAATAATCATTGTGTTTAAATGTTTGATTTTCTTAACAAGATTGATATTACAGGGCAAGGCAAACGTGTCGTGGGAAGAATTCCAAGAATTGTGGAAGGAGTACTTCTCTACTGAGGATCCGAATGCCGCTGGCAATTTCATATTCGGAAGAACCAGCTTCTAAAATCGTCGCCGTCAATAAATCCCTTATTGGACCTTGATGAGCATAATGTACCGTCTCATATATCTCATTCTACGATATTTCTCTTCGGCTTACGAGGTATTTTATGAAACTCGACGGACAAGGTTATAGTCAAATTTTGAATGTAACTTTTATCTCTTTATGTGCGATACCAAGTTTTGTGTAAAAGAAATTACACCTTTAAATGTGTCCGTGTTACATTTTTCTTCATATTAGTAAATCAATAGATGTAACTTTAAACTTTGAATCAATTTTAAACTATTTCAAGCTCAAACTTTTCCTATCATTCTGAATTTCTTAGAATATGCGCTACAACGAACGAATTGTTCCCTTTTCTAATATTTATCATATCTCTTAGTCATATTTAGATTTATATCTGAACATTCCTTTTTTTATTTGTGATAATTTAATTGTAATATTACTTTTTTTTCTAAGATTGATTTACAGTTTGTTATTATTATTTTGAGACCAAAAACAACTGCCAGATTATCCTTAATATTATTTTTCTCATTAATCTAGTCAATTAAGTATTTTATTGTTATGTTGGTTTTATTATTGTAATATTCTATTATAAACTAAATTGATGTTGTACCGCTACACTATAGATGTTATAGAAATCGATTTAATGTATGTAAATAAATTGACTTTACGTCGAATATGTTGTTTTATTAACAAATAGCTTTCGCCCGCGACTCCGTCCGCGTGGAAATAAATAATATAGCCTATATCATCACAGATAAATTACCTTTCTAATGGTGAAAGAATTTTTGAAATAGGCCCAGTAGTTTTTCAGTTTTTTCAATACATACAAAAATACAAATCTTTCCTCTTCATAATATTAGTATAGACTAGCTGTTGCTCGCGACTTCGCCCACGTGAAATTTAAAAAATGTACAGACGAATTGAGTACCTCCTTCTTTTGGGAAGTCGGTCAAAAAGTATAGCCATATAGCCTTTGTAATTCAGCGATACGGTAATATTCTACTGTGAAAGAGTTTTCAATTAGTGCAAGATTCTTCAATCAGCCCAGTAGTTTTTGAGTAATTTTAAACATACAAAAATACAAATCTTTTATTTTCATTTATCATATCTGTATCTCTGGAAAAATCAATATGACCTTATTCATTGAACCTTAGTTCTGACCTAAAATTCATATCTGAATGTTGACGTAACTGAACTGGCTTTACGATATCACTTGTGTAGTGTTATATTCAATTCCCTTGGGTTAGAATTCTCATAATCCTTAGCTTAACTTGTATCTGACAAAGTTATATTTAATGTTTATTCCTAACTAAGTACTCTGCGCTTTCTGACTGAAATCCTTTTCATAACTACGAAATTGTGCTTACTAAGCCTCACAAGTTTTATGGAAATGGGCAATTGATATTTCACAAGACAATCGTTTATTTAGATTACATGTTAACAAATATCTGAAAAATCATCATTAGAAGACATTTTGTAAAGTTAAGAAAAAAAATTAAAGTTAGTCAGGTAACAAAATTGAAAACAGGATGGTTTTCTTAAAATATATCGCAGAAATGTATCAATAGATTTACTACAAACTAGCTCTTGTTCGCGATTCCGCCCGTGTGTAACTAAAAAAGGAATGAAAAAGATAGCCTATTTTACTCGTAGATTAATTACCTTTCGGTGAAAGAATTTTTAAAATCAATCCAGTAGTTTTTGAGTTTTTTCTATACATATAAAAATAAAAATATTTCCTTTTTATAATATTAGTATAGACCTAAATAAAACCACAATCAACAATTTAACAAACAATAGTAACTCTGATCGTAGCAAGCTAACTCAAAAATACCATTTAAGTCTTCGTTCAATTACGAGATTAACAGAACTCTTTCAATTGAATACAAAAGGCAACTTATCAAATGGAAGCATTCCAATCCAGTTTCCGATACTGCAGCAATCAATAAGGATAACTAACAGTGTAGTTTATTTATACGTTTATAAAGATGTTTTTAATGTATCTCTCAATCTAGATTGTAGATTTCGATCGCGATTCGGTCGGTGTGAAATTAAAAGAAACAAAAGTAAGTGGTCTAAATGTTCTTCCAGACGTTTATGCCAATTTCAGCAAGATCCGTTTAGAAGTTTAGGCTATAAATTATAACAGAAATCTATCCATCAAAGTTTCGCATTCATAATATTGGTAAAAAATAAGATAGTTTAATTGAAGAGTATAAAAACCTACGTCTCAGTCTTCATTTTAACTAAGCATACTAAAATACTAACGTTTGGTGAATTTAGTTTAAAAACTAATAAAACCAGACTGAAGCGTATTTGGGTTTATACCAGTCAGTAGGACGTAATCGCGATTGGTTGAGTTTTTAGTAGGTTAGTTCCTTAAGATAAGCGTAAGCGACTAATTGATCGACTGCTAGGTGCAATTAGTCGAGTATTTGGTCGACTGGTTCTTACTTACTACGGGAATATTTTAGCAATCATTTGAATGATTTTCTACTATTTATTTTCGAAAGGCGCTATAACGTATACCGTACACGTTTCGCTTCGTTTACTTATAACACTGTATTGTGTATTCGAGAAACATATCTCTTTTTGTAACCTGCTACCAAGGGTTCTAAAAACATTCGTTTATTTTCCCTTTTTCTCCTCGCCTGAGGCGATGAATATGTTTTCTATTGAGAAAGACTTTTTGCTTCTTACGAAACATTTTGAAGTATTGGAATACATATTATTTAATATAATCTAGGAATATACTGGTGAACAATTCCGATATGTTCAATAAGTAAACTGGTGTTAATTAACTTCAAAATGATAAAAAAAATTCAATAAATCATATTTTCAGGAAACATAATAAATAAAATGGAGAATATTACCACTTACTCACTAAAAAGTATCTCTTCCATTTATTCAGCGTAATTTAATGCTTTCAATATAAGAGTATTAACGATTTCTTTCGTCCACTTTTCTCTTTAAATCTGAATAAGCGAAAAACAAAACGATAAACATAAAAGCAATGGCACATCACTTTTTATGGCCGGTTTCTAAGCGGAATAAATTTCTTGCGAAGGCCTTTGTAGGAAAAACAGACCTAGTCTTGTGTAGGCATCTTTGTGAATAGAAATATTGAATAGGTCTAGAAGATATCGTTTTATTATCGTATACATTTGTCACCTTGCAATAAAACAATTGTGACCTAGCGTCTTTTGTTTTTAAAGCATGAGAATTTTTATTTATTAAACCTCTTTGGTAACCAAAGAGTTCGTAACTAAAGACATCTAACTGGTCACTAAGAATGTAGCCCACAAAAGTATAAAAAGATACGTAAAAAAAGTGCGGGAAATAAACAGAATATTCGAAATAGAGAAAATGTTTCTTCTGTTGTTAAGTTATTTAAAATTGTTAATCATTCATTGCTAATTAGAGCAGCAAAATTGTTAAATACAAAAAGAGAATCATTTAATTAACTGGGCCATTATTCAACTCAATCATTCGTTCGTTCAAAATGTAAAGGGAAAAGATAGTTTTTATGAGCACTTATGTTTTAATTGCATTATATAAAAAAAAGCCAGAAAAATGTGTACTACAGCATTTTCATTTCTAATAATATTTCAATTAAAAATAACATATTCAAAAAATACCTGCGGTTTTCTAATTATACAATAAAAAATCAGAACTAAAAATTAAATTATTTTTTTCTTTTAAATTTAATGTCACATCAACATGCTTAATTGCGTGTTATATTTTCTGTTTGTTTTAATATTGCAAATAATTGCTTTCATACGTTGCGTGTTGATTTCGATATAAAAGATTAATTCCATTAAATATAATTAATAAATTATACACTCTGTTATGTATAAATAAAAAATACAAAAATAAATGAAATAAATTAAAATAATACTACAATTGCGAGATTATCGTGAAACTTTTTGATAGCGTTATATAATGGTCTGCCCTCGACGGTATTTCTAAGTCAATACGACGAGGATTCTTCTAAAAAAAAGCATAACCAATTTCGCAATTGCTGGCAACCCTAATAGTTCCTCTAGTGATGCTGATGTCCTCAGTATTCCCAATAGTATGGCCCCAATCAAATACTATTGTGACATTAAGAGCGGGCCCACACCTTTGAATAAACTATAGCACAAATGTTGTGCGATAGTCGATTATTTTGTAGGTAATTCAACTGTTTAGTTCCTCTTTATGTGCGTCCCTCCTCCGTCGGATAGGGGTAGGCAACGCTTCTGCAATTGTGGATGTCTATGGGCAGCGGTCGCTTCGCTATTTTGGCGGATCCAGGTGGCCGCTTGCTCGTTTGCTACCTTAGGTTATAAAAATATTGAAATCAAGTAATGTCCGCACCTCCATATAAGTTCATAGGAATCAAAGCGCGACTAAACAGTTGAACGATAGTTTGGTCCAAGGTGTGCGGCCGCTTTAACAGTTTTACGTTATCAAGAGTTTTTGATTGATTTCAGCAAGGCATTAAGTTACGTTATAAAACGACATAATTTATAACAAGAAAGTTACGACATTACGTTCACAAACACCCGACCTTCGTTACATTGAAGCAAACACCAGGTGTGCGTTACTACCTCAATGTCAACGGTAAATGCTTCGGGAATTTTCACCGTTGATGTTTTATTTCCAAAGGTATACCAGATGTAAAAATTTTACACATTAATTTCAACATTAATAAGATTTATTGAGAAATATTATAGACTTTAATGTAGATATATTTAAAATTAAAAATTGCATTAGGTTACATACCTACAGCTAAATATTGCGCGTAAAATTTATAAATGGACTCCTACGTTCCAAGTATTTAAAAGATAATTACAGTTCATAATAGAGTAAAAAGGATCCTCAGCATTTTACTTATGCTGTGTTGCTGAACTTTCCACTTATTTTATCACAAGCAACTGATTCATTAGCATAAAGTCGAACGGAGTTGGAGTATAACGCAAGTTCAGTGGGGCGTCGCGGTGGCAAGCGAAAGCGATCCCGTGGCGCCCCACACATTGACCAGGAGGGAACGAAGGGGTTTAGTGAGGTATGCCCCCCACTATGGGGGGAGAGTCCCACATAACTCACGTGTCTGCCCCGAGGCATGGAGTATGCAGAAAGCATTCCCCTTCGGAAAAAAAAAATAACTCAAGTTACGTAGTTCGAAAACGCATTTCATCAAGTTATGGAACGAGACACTAACAAACGGTTAAAAGTAGCTAGGAACCTGGTCATTAGACTAACATTTTAACGATAGCTTGCTAAGTACTGAGAGAAGGCAGAGCCATAAAGGCCACATAGAAATATAGAAAAAGCGTGTAAAACATGTAATGACTAAGCCAAGAGTAATACATAACATCTGTTTGGACGTCTGGATTGCTAGTGTAAAAAGGCTTTTATTTCAAAAAGAAATAAACAAGTATATAGATGTACAATAAACTACTTGAATATAAATCATATACGCTTTTATATTTCAGATGTAAAAGTTACTTTGTCGCTGTTTTGCTTTTTATATATTGAAATAGCGTTTTTAGAACAAAGAACTGAAGCTGAAGAATTTTGTGTAGTTTGATTCAGCGAAAAATGTTTTACCCTTGCTGTTTCTTAAAGTGACTATTTTTATATCAAAGAAAAGTTTTATAGTAGCGAAGTACTTGAATGGAGAAGTGAAATGTTTTGTTTCAATGCCAAATGCGATGGTTTTATACAAACTTTTAAAGCTTCTGTTTTTATATAAAACATTGTATTGGTTTAAAATATAAACCTTGCACTAATTTTTTTCCATACAAGTAATGTTTTTCGTTGTAATAAATAAAAATTATTGTTCTTTGTGTTCTAGTATGGGCATAGTACTGTTAATGTTTCATAATATGTCAAGTTATAAAGCATTTTTGCTTCATAAATGCAAATGAAAAGTCACCATTGAATATAAACAATTGTAAAGCGCAATCATCAAATTACTAAATCCAAATTCTCTAACATAATTTGTAAAGTTTTCCTTATTGCCACATACTAACAAGAAGGTTTTAGAGTGAGGAAGTAATTTCGCAGGAGTCTTGTTAAATTTTACGTCTTCATATGTCAGGAGGATCAAGATTAAACCCGACTTCGTACTGGTGTAGGATTTACGGCAGAACATCACCTGTTTTACACAATGTCATTTGTTTCAAATGAGATTTTTGTTACTGTCGTATAGTGAGACATTTTATTGCTTGTATAACCAAATATTTTTAATCTTTACAAAATACATAGAACAATAACGTATCTGAAATAAATATCTATATCTGCCAAAATGTAAAATTGTATTCTGTACAGTATACTAATGCAAAATGTGTTCAAAACCATACGACTTTGACGACGAAAAACTATATATTTGTATATAGCTATTTTGTCATTTTAATACTTGCTTTTATTTTAAAACTCCAGTTCTAAAAGCACACATTATTTTGTGCAGACTTTTTAATTAATATCCTATTTATTTTAACAGCTTTCTATGTTTTTTTTTTATATTTTATTATAAAATCATACTAATATTATAAATGCGAAAGTTTAGATGGATGGATGGATGTTAGAGTTTGTAGCGTAAACTGCTGAACGGACTTTTATAAAATTTGGCATAGACGTAGAGGATAGTCTGTAAGAACACATAGGCTACTTAGCTGTTTTGTTTTTTTTTTAATTCCACGCGGACGGAGTCGCTAGTTTGTCATAAACGTTTAAATCTGTGATTGTAAAATTTTCTGTATTCTGCAAATGAGTTGGAATTCTAACATTTGTTCAAGAAGCAAAGTAAATGTCAGTCTTGGAATATGACAATATTAAACTGGGAAACTGGAATGAAGTAAATTCACTTAACGTAATGAAAGTTTAGCAGACGAGGACTGAGTGAAAAGAAAAAGTATGAAAACATTTGTATTCATGAAGGAATAATAGTAATTTTAATTTCTTTAATATTTCTCAAAAATACTTGGTATTGGTAGCATTACGGAAACTATAACCTCCAAAAAATAAATCTATATCTATACTCTATCCATCTATACTATTATAATAAAGCGTAAAAACACACTTCTTTATTGCCTAAGATGTCAGCAATTGTAGCATATTTTTGAATAACTATTTTTTTAATAAATAGCCCTACACTTACGTCATGCTTTAGGCTATATATTTTTGCGCCAATAAACTTGAGGGGTAAACATTTTGGATAAAAGCCCTAATGTGGGAAAGAGACCATAAGCTGCTGCCAACATTAAGAAAGAAAGATTGCTAAGGTTTGTCATGTCATGTCATTTTGACATTTGCTATTAATAATTTGACAAATGTAAACAATGAAATAAAATTTTCATAATTTCATGCGGATGAAGCCGCAAGGGAACAGTTAGTAAATAAATAAAATAAGTGAAACTTTAGTAATACCAGTCTAGTCTATTTATGACTGCTGTTTTTTTTTAAAACAAATTAATATCATTATTTATTATGCCAGTTATATTAACATTTTAATTAAGAGAACCTAAATCGTAATCAACGTTTTCACTCTAATTGGAATCGCGTGCGGTTTCGTTAATGGGTTCCAAACATTATTTAGTGACGAATCCAATCCTAATATAATTATTATTTACTATTAGCTTTCAACCGCGACTCCGTCCGAGTGGAATTGAAAACAAACAAAAGCAAGGAGCCTATGTGTATTCCAGGCTATGCTCTACGTCTGTGACAAATTTCATCGATATACGTTTAGCCGTTTAGGCTACAAACGCTTACAAACATCCATACATCTAAACTTTCGCATTTATAGTATTAGTAAGTAGTGAGATTGACATACTTACAAACAAATACTTACGTAAGTCTGACGATATTCGCAATAACCATTAGTCAACAAATATCTTACTCTCACGTACACAGAATATCTCCATAAATTCATTGATTTTTTTTCTCTTGCCTTGGGATTTAATATAACACAAATCATAAGATAAATTACTTATATTGTTTTCTTACACGAGGAAAGTGGATTTGACGACGGAGTAAAGGTAGGCAACGCATCTGCAATTGCGGATGTCTATGGGCGGCGAACGCGTCGTTTCGACGAATTCAGGTGGCCGCTTGCTCGTTTGTCACCTTATAATATTAAAAAAGATTCATTATTTTTCATGTAAACATAGTGGCGTGCGAAAGCTGTACAGCATATAAAACATATTCCAGTATCAATAATGATTATTCACAAGTGGGAGCAATTAAAACGTGGCTCAGTTGTAATTAAGTTTATTCGGAAGTCACGTACGATATAATTGGTGATCATTACTGCGTACGTGGGAATCGATAATATTAATGTTTGTAACCTTTTGTCTTATCGTATACTAGCTGTTCGCGTGCGGCTTCATCCGTATGAAATTATAAATTTATTTAGTTATTGTATTTGGCAAATTATCAATTGCAAATGTTAAAATGACGTGATATTATGACAAACCATACCTCCTTGATGTTGGCAGCACCTTATGGTCTCTTTCCCACATTAGGGTTTATTTCCAAAATATTTACCCCCGAGTTTAATGGCGTGAAAATATATAGCCTAAAGCGTGACGTAAGTGTAGGGCTTTTTATTAAAGAAATAATTATTTAAAAATATGCTGTAATTGCGGAGATCTTAGGCAACAAAGAAATGTGTGTTTACGCTTTATTATAATAGTATAGATAGTTAGTTATTGTTGTTTAGTGTTCTTGTTTGATTAATAACTAGATTCTCTATTCTAGATTGCCTAATTCATTAAACCTTCTTTCTTTTACTAATGTTTTATGACTTTCTACAACTATTTGGACTTTGGATAATGGAAGGTTAATCAAATTCAAAGTAAAAACGTGTGTTCAGATTATCTTAATAAAATGTTTTTAAGAGCCGTAACAAAGCGTTATTTCTTTCAATGGACTAGAATCTTAAATCTTTATAGAACCGTTTGAAACCCAAGGGTCACATTTGTTCGTCTATGTCATTTAGTTCCCTAAATGATGAATCTAAAAGAAATGTGCTTTTCCAAATCAAACGGACCTTGAAATGTACGAAAATATTCACGGTTCTTGATTACTTTGATGCCTTGATTTAGTTTTCGTTAGAAATGAAATGAAGAAATGGAAATTATTTTGATGAAGATCTTTTAGAACCTTCCCAAATATTTTCATGGATTTCAAATACCAAATTTTCAAAGTATTTGGTAGTTAATAAAATCTAAAGTTTAATTTTTCACACTATTTATTACATTAAAACATACTTTACAACAATAACGTTATTGTTAAAATTATAATTTAAAAAAATGAACATCTTGTATGTTCATGTTTGAAAGCGATGCTACCTGAATTACGATTGAATTATTTTATTTCCACTATGACAATAGATTTACATTACTATACAAATTCTACTATATTTTCCTAACAATGAAAAAGAACCAAACTTAAACTTAACAATGGCACTTTAATATTATACAAAGAATATTCAAAATTTAACTTCATTAACCTGTAACCCAATAATTTAATATTTAAATAAAATAAAAAAAATAAAATAAAATAAAATAACATAACAATAACGGGAAATAATTCTGGTAACACACAACATAACATTATTCCAATAATCTTAACGTTTCCAAGTGAATCCATTGTCAGCAACGAAGTTGGAACCAGTTATGCTCTTTGCTTTATCACTCGCGAGGTAAACAATTAAATCCGCTATCTCCTCAGGTTCCCCCACCCTCTTCAGAACTGTATTAGCTGCGAAATCAGCCCAAGACAGTTTCGATTCTGGAATCCCAGAATTTACAATGATATCTGTTCTCACAGGACCTGGACTGACCGTGTTCACTCTTACACCGTGCTTCCCTAAGTCTAGAGCGACGCCTTGAGTGAAAAGATTCAACGCAGCTTTGGATATGCAGTACGGCAATAGGCCAGGCTTATTCGGTGGGATCACAGCCAACACACTGGATACGTTGATAACATTACCCTTGCTGGAGATCAAATGCTTAGAACATAATGACGTCAGAATAATAGCAGCTCGCATATTAGTGGCCATCACTTCGTCATACGCTTTTAAGATGTTACCATATCCAACACTACCGTAACGTGAAACGCCAGCATTGTTCACCAGTACATCAATCTTGCCAAATTTCTCTACTGCCTGTTCAACTATTTTGATCGCCTCCTCTTCTTTCGAGACGTCTGCTTTCACAACTAAATGTTTGGTCTCACAAAGCGCAGCTACGCTTTCTAGTTTCGTCTCGTTCCTTCCTACCAGAACTACGTTAGCTTTTTCCTTCGAGAAGAGGATAGCTGTAGCAGCTCCTATTCCAGAACTAGCACCAGTTATGATTACTACTTTATTTTCGAAACTCATTTTAGGAAGTTTGTTCTGAAAGTAACAGTTGAAGCGTTTGCAACAAGTCAATGAAGACTGATAATAATTAGAAAACGCAACGTATATTTATATAAAAGGTAAATTACTATTATTCTTACCGTTAAGGATTTTGCAAATATTTTTTTGTACAAAACATCATTAATTTTATTATACTGTAATAATAATTATATTTAATCACGATTCTGATTACATTTAGTCTTTAGGATTCTCGGTTCGAATCCAACATCTATACATACATACATACGTTCAATATCAGGAAAATTATCTTGATATTACTATTTTTAAAAGATTTTAAAGTTAAAAAATAGATTTAAACATTGTACAATTAGGAATTTATTACCGCTATATTTACATATCGTAAGATATGTTAATGCGAATACGCAGCTATTATCAAAGTTTTACTGTAAAATATGGAAATTTTTGTTAGGCGTAGTAATAACCAGAAGTTACGTATTTATATAAAATCTCTTCTTACCCTCTGGTTAGTTACGTTCCATCGTAAGTTATATTTTTTTCTGTGGCTTTAAGCCCCTGTTTTACAAGTTAAAAACAAACAAAACGTTTCGTGTACAACAAATTCTCTGGTAACATCAAATAAAGCTGGATTACATTGATTGCTTTCTCTTCACAGACGCCGCTTCCTTAAAACTTTTTCAATTAAGACAGAGGGCGCTTTGATACCTTAAGACTTTGTAGTTAAAAATAAAACAAAACAAGGAAAATGTTACATACATAAAAGCAAAAAAAAAATCACGTTAAAAACAAATAGTACAAAACCAGTAATTCCTACACTTAAGACATTCTAGTTCGGCAATAAAACTATTTGTTGTCTAACCAAGAATATAAAAATCAGGGATTGGTGGCATTTCAAGAGCCGTCTTAATTATATCACTCACAAATATCATTATCATCTTTCTCCTTACCCTACTCCCGTAGTGGCGCAACAGGTATTTGTCCTCCACATAACTCTATCATACATCGTCTCAGTCATCACTACCTTTTTGACCATGTCACCTTTCACACAATCCATCCATCTCTTTCTAGGTCTACCTCTACCGATGTACCCTTCCACACTCATTACGAACGTTTTCCTTGTAACATGCGATTCATCCCTCCTCATAACATGCCCATACCATGCTTATAGTCCTTACTTTCTCTACTGGGACTACTCTCAAACTTCCTCTAATATACTGATTTCGTATCATCCATTCGTGTTGCCCCACACATCCATCTTAACATTCGCATTTCTCATGTAGTCTCCTTGCATCCGTTCCTTTTACTGCCCAACATTCAGATCCATACACTCACATATATCACTCACGAATATACGGAGAGGAATTAGTTCCACATTTTTCCGCAATATGGCGAGGGGTTTTCGTATACCTGATCAAACTATACACGTGTAAAGACAATTGTCAATTTAAAAATCGATTTTCTAAAATTGCATACTTCAAATAATGGCTTTCACATTTGCATATAAAAATAATCAGAATTTATTGCTGTATCATTAATTTAAATGTATGAATATAAAAACTAAGGACATATTAGGCATTCTGTTCGAATAAGTAATAAATTTTTTCCGTATCATTTACATAAAAAAGATAATTATGTTATTCAAATAATTTTTACACTTCTAATCAAGGTAGTGAATTAGTCAAGGTTGGAGAAAATTCTAGAAAACGCATAAAGTGCTTAGAAAATTAGACGAAACTTAATGCGTATTAGATTTTAGAGGAGGCAGATAATATTGTTTTGGGTATGTACATCAATTGTAAACTCTTGTAACCTTGCTTGACCTCTAATAAAGAACTAGTGGCCAAATACTGAAACCAATCAAACCACGTTACTTATAAAAATGTCCTTTTAGTACTCATACGGATCATAATCTTTCCCAATGATACGTTTAGTCGGTTTTTAAACAGAATATGTTCGTTAGTTTGGTAAACTTTGTAACATACGGCTTTAATTATATGTTTAATGATTTGCGGTCCCTTTACGTTACAAATACACAGTACAATCAAAACCAGAGCCGTCGGTTTCAGTCTTTAATAGCACAAAGCCAAATTAACTCGACTCACAAAGCAATATCTTTGAATGATGACGTAATCAAAGGCATTACCAACTGATTTACATATTCTATGGTGAACTTAACTGTACCATTAATTATAATTTACTAGGTTCCTCCCGCGACTCCCTTTGCGTGATATTGAAATAAAATTGTTCCTAGTGTCCTTCCAAGCTGTCCTCTACATCTATGCCAAATATCATCGAATTCTATCCAGTTTAGGCTACGAACTCAAACAAACGTTTATTCGTCCCTACATCTATTAAATTTTCGCATTTACAAACATATTTTAATTACTAGCTTACGCCCGCGACTTGCAGTGTGATATTAAAAAAAAAAACAAATGTGAGTAGCCTTTTTGTTCTTCCAGATCCTCTACATCTAAACCAATTTTCATAGAAAACCGTTCAGCCGTTTAGGCTATAAACTCTAAGAAACATCCATCCATCTAAACTTTCGCATTTATAATATTAGTATGATGTATGATATACAAACAAACAGCATTATTTTTTAACAATATAGAGATTTTAATGCAATATGTACTCATATACAAGAAACATTAACCACTTTAGTAGTCATTTCATTGAAATTGTCGGCTATAAAATAAATTAACTTTATTAGTTTTCCGCAATTTAATAAGTTCTTTAAAAAAACCATCGAACAATTTTATTATTATGGGTGTCTCTAATTTATTCCATCTTTTCTAATTATTATGCAAATGTAAAATGAAGTTGCCGGGAAACGTTCGTCTCAATGTTACATCAAGCGTTCTATTTTAGACTCTTTGGTGTCATTTTTAGGTCGATCGATTCTGCTGTATTTTGTTGGCAAATGAACAATTTCTGCAACAAAAAACATGCATAGTTTTAATGCAAATAACTGTATGAATTATATTTAAGTCTTGTCTTAAAATACCAATAAGTTTTAGTTAAAAGAAAGTTCAATACCAAAGGATACAAAAAAGCCGATTAACGAAAGTGGGTCCTTAAGTAGTCTTTCATACAAGCTCTTTGACTTTCTATGGTTCATTCAAATATATTCCTTTTTATAAATATACTAGCTGTTCTCATGCAGCTTCATCCGTATAAATTTATGAATATTTTATTTTATTTACATTTGTCAAATTATCAATTGCAAAATGATGACAAACTATAGCAATCTTGCTTCCTTGATGTTGGCAGCTTGTAGTTTATAGTCCCTTTCTACATGAAGGTGTTTTTCCAATTTGTTTATCCCCTAAGTTTAATAACGTGAAAATTTATAGCCTAAAGCGTGTCGTAAGTGTAGGGCTTTTTATTAACGAAAGAATTATTCAAAAATATGCAGTGATTGCTGACATCTTACGCCACAAAGTAGTGTGTGTTTACGCTTTATTATATTAGTATAGAGTATATATTAAGACCTTTTAAGTACAAACCATTAATAAGTCAAATTAAACGAAGCTATTCATCAATGTCTGTTCAGAAAATCGATGGATTGTAAAAAGTTTTGTAAGCTATTGTTGAAAATAATTTTATTGGCTGTCTAATTACCTTTAAGTCAACATAATTAACATTATTGTTATTTACATAACAGTTTCCAAACAAAAAGGATATATATCTGGGATGTATATTTTTTTCCTTCTTAAATTTATTAGACAAAATTCATTTTTAAATCTTAAATTACTTTAAATTGGGTTTGAATAAATTAAAAAAAAAACTAGAAGATTGTGTTATGATATTATGTAGAGGAAATATTCTAATTTTCTTTGGAGACAAAATATATTATATTCAGGTGTTACTTAAAAGGTCTCTAAGCGACGAAAAATTTTAATAATCTCCAAGATTACTTCATTTTCATACTAAGTAAAAAGTATTTCACTAAAATATCTAAAGATTTCACCTCCTCTAGAATAATTATTAATAAAGTAATCCTATAAATTTAAATATGGATTGTAATTTACTTCATTAAAAAATGGATTGTAATTCAATCCATTTCAGTCACATTCTCATTCAGTATTGAATTATTCTATTCATAGTTAACGAACTCTAACAAGCGAATGCAAAAGTAACAAAGTGTTCACAAAGCGTAGCCTCAGGTGTGACTTGTGTCAACACTGTCATACGCAATTTCATTTATACATTTGTATACAATTTTAATAATTATTATGCATACATTTTTGTTAGCGTACTTCGAGCAGGTCAAGACGTGTTAAGGTTTTTGTCAAATATGAAAATGTATGAATAAAATTAAAATTATTATTTTACATGTCAGTGGTTACCAAATATGTCCCTTACAATTAACTGACTATTTGTAGTCAAGATATTTGCAAAAAACACCGATCATACTAATATTATAAAAGCGAAAGTTTAGATGGATGAATGGATGTTTGTTAGAGTTTGTAGCGTAAACGGATTAACGGATTTCGATGAAATTTGGTATACACGTAGAGAATAGTCTGGAAGAATATATAGGCTACTCACTTTAACTTTTTTTAATTCCATGCGGACGAAGTCGCGGGCGAAAGCTAATATAAAGGTATTTCATAAAACAGTACATATTTTTTATTAAGATTATGAACATTAAAAAATTCTGCTTCTTACAAAAAAACATTTTTCAATATAATTTTAGCATTTTCTTAAGAACATTGTCTGTTCCACGTCACCGTTGTCACGAGCTTATGACAGGCTTGACGTCAGGCCATTTTACCTCATTAATATTTCAAACATTTTTACGTAGTATCGAAACAGTTACCAAGTACATACAGTTACACTGAAAGTAATATATAAAGCTTCAGAAGTAGGTTCTTTAGTGATAGCCACTTTTAGAGCGTGCGCACACCTGAAACTATACTGTCGCATAACTGTTTAGTCTCGCTTTGATTCCTATGAGCTTATATGGAGGTGCGCAAACTACTCGATTCTTAATTGTGCAA